ATCATGCCCAATGCTGTAACCTTCACATGGTACAAGCTTTGTGCTGTGTGGCTTAAAGGCACGAGTCGGGATTGAATTGATGCGCTATTTTATTCAAACTTTAGGCAAGGGGTGCCATTAGGATAAGTGAGGAGAAAAAGCAAAAAACACTATAGAAAACCCTAAACTTCTCTTAGGAGGCCGGCCGTAGTACGACGGAGAGACACAGCGCTGCGAGGAGAGGGAGAGCGCGAGATAGTACATTGTACGCGAATCACCTTACCCGTTGGCGCAGGTCTTTGTGCCTTGCCAACAATTACAAAATTATAATATCATGCCCAATGCTGTAACCTTCACATGGTACAAGCTTTGTGCTGTGTGGCTTAAAGGCACGAGTCGGGATTGAATTGATGCGCTTATTTTGTTCAAACATTAGGCAAGGGGTGCAATGAGGATTAGTGAGGAGAAAAAGCAAAAAGCACCATAGAAAACACTAAATTTCCCACAGAGACCACGTATGCCGCGGTGGATTACGCTGGCAGCGCGGGCAGCGCGGCGGGCAAGGCCTTAGCGCCATTGCCGCGCACTTTTGGGTCGCGATAGTGTCGCGCCCTCAGTGCTTGGGGAGCCCACTATCGCACCCTGGGAAGAACTTCTGCTGGTTGCCTAATCCTGACTCGTGGCTTTAACTCACTACGGAGATCATAAGGCGACGCTTGCTGGCTTACGGTTCTAGCACCGTTCTCTTTTCAGTTACCTAGCCCCATCCGCAACTTATGGACATTATGGTTATTCTAAAGACCACAGACCAAATCGCCGCACCAATCGCCGCGCGCGACGATAGTCGTCGCGTGAGCGGCGTGACCTCGTTAGCTGACGATTGAATTGACCGTCTCCCGCAAATAACACACCCGCCTGACGCGCACTGCTTATCATAGAGCCTGTTCCGCACCAATTGCCGTTCCGATGTTTTCGTTGGGAATATTACTGAACTGAACATCGTTGTGCAGCTGTGCGCTTTTCTCCGAATGCTCCGTTGAATAGCAGTGCTCACTTCGTCAGATATAAAGGGGAGACATAAGGGCAACTTGTTTTGACGCGGTTTCCCTCTTGGGGAGATATGCCGACTTTGGTGTCTTTGTACCGCATAGCCGCTTGCAATGGCTATTTGTGTAGCTAATTGTCGTGATTCACGTCTTTCAACATCTCCAGTGCTCACCCTAGTCACAGTTCTTAACATATTTTCAAGAATAGTACGTTTAGCAGCGAAGAGGTGAGCCGACGTAGAACCAAAGTGTTTTTCGAGCTACTTTTGCGATACCATTTCACATGTGCGATGCCACTGGATATGACTTGCGTACTGAGATAGGGCAACCAACGTCGTGTGGTGTTTCGCGAGTAAGCTTGATGTACTACGAGTGTCATTCATTAGTCGGAAACGCTCAGAA